ATGGCAAGATGAGCCCAGGGACCCAGAATCTGGCCCCCAGGCTCACCTTTATTCTAACCCCTCTGCATCTCTGACTGTTTCCAGGAAGTTTGGCCTACTAGCCTCAAAGACTGGGTCTTCTTTGCACAGGAAGGTCCTGGGTTAGGGAAACGTCCTTAACACCCAACCCCTGGGCCTCCAGCCTTCTCCTGGGAACCACCAGGACAGCTGGTTTTTGTAGGCTCTTCGCAGGCCAGGCTGGGTGGAGGGTAAGCTACTAGGTCCAGTTGCCTGCAGACAGCAGCTATGTTTGGGGGCTTAAGAGAAGAGAGGAAAGGGAGCTTCAGGTGTCCTAGGGAGCTATACCCCTTCCAGTGGCTGACCTCTCAGCCCCTCCTATCCTGCCCCAAGGACAGTGAGTCTAGTATCTTCTTTCTGTCTCCATCCAGAACCTCAGAGCCTGGGCCTGGGCTCTTCTCTGGCTCCTCTTCTCTGGGACTTTGCCATTCTCCCCTCCCCTTTCCTCTTTGCTCTTCAATTTGGTTATCTGGCCAGTGCCCACAGCCTATAGCCTCCTCCTCCACCCCTGCTTCCTCTAGAAACTCCCTATCATCTCACTTGATGTGGGAGGTAGGTGGGTGAGGGTCCCCGGATCTCTATCTTTTTTCATTTCCCATCACAGAGGATGGGAGAGGAGGCATCAGAGAGGTGGCCTGTGTTCTCCAGAGCCCAGAACCCTGGGCCACTGTGACGGGGTGGAGGCTGGGCTGCAGGCTGTGTATCTTTTCTTTTTCTTTTTCTTTTCTTTTCTTTCTTTTTGTGGAACTGGAGATTGAACTCAGGCCCTTGCACTTGCCAGGCAAGCGCTTATTTTATTGAGCTGTCTCTCCGGCCCCCTGTGTATATTTTCTAGGGAATGCCACTTTCCCCAGCTGCCACACACAGTTCATCCTGCCACACTTGCCTTCGTGATAGCCTTATACCTCCTGCGTGGGCTGCCAGGGGTTAAGGAGTTGGTGCAGAGCTGTGACTGAGCGAGGCAGAGGGTCTGATCCTAGGATCCAATCGTAAAGCCAGCAGGGTTTAACTACAGGTCACCGTCTCCATCCAGGGGACTGAGATTCAGTCTGGACATGTCCTCAGCCAGTGCAACCCCTCCTTCTCCCTCTTCCTTCCCTTGGCTCAGCAGCCCAGCCCAGCCCTGAGGAAAGCGTTGGCAGCTGGGGCTGGGAACGAGGTGGCAGAGCCAAGAACAACAGAACTGCCGCCTGGGTGCTGTGCAGACCCTCCTGGCCTGAGACCCTCCCGCTGCAGCAAGCCTTCCCCTCCCATCTGTGACACCCACTCAACTGGGCCATGTTGCTTCCCTTCAGCAGCTCAGGCTAACCCTGGAGGTGGCTGTCATCCTTGTCATCGCTTCCTTTCAGGTCACTTGGGATCTTCTGCCCTCACCTTGCTAATCTTAGGTTTTCTCTCCTGTACACAAATGTTCTCAGAAAGGAGCTGATCCTTTCTCCTGGCCTGTATTTCCCTATGCTGCCATAATGGCAATTTCCTCTGGGTGAATCAGAGCCTGGCCTTACCACATTTCAAAAGGGTTGGGTCCCTGAAGCCAGAGAGACAGGCAAGAATACAGCCCTTCCTTCTGCACAGGGGATGGGAGCTGCTAGAGGGGGGCTGGATGCTGGCATCTGAACTCTGCTAAGTGGAATCAGAGGGTTCAGGGTGGCCAGGAGACACAACAGTCCTACCCCAGTGGCTCCCAGCCCCACCAACTGCAGGAGGCCTGACTTCTTTGCTGGCTTTCTCTACTGAGTGGCAGAGTCCCAGGTGTCCAGCCCCCCCTGGTTTAATTTCTGAGTCCTAGCCAAACAAGCCTCTACCCCAGCAGATGCAATAACACTGGTGGGGTGAGAGAGACTCTCCACAGTGCTGATGCTGGCCAGAGAAACTGGGGGTTTTGCTTTATGACTCTCCCATCAACCCTTCCCCCTAGGGCTGGACTGGGTGGTCCCCTACCCTTACCCCACCCCCACTGTACTCGCACCTCAAGCCACTGATGGACCAGGGTGGGGCTGTCTCCTCTTCCAAGCTCCACACCCTTTAATTGTGCACACATTGGCCTGTCCACACTCATTCATCTGGAAGCAGCCCCTGTTCATCTCCATTACCGCTGGTGCAAAACCAGCCACAACACAATGGACAAAGTCCTAGAGTGTTCCTTCCTAACCCTCTCAGCTGTGCCTGTTCTCTCTGTTTCCCCAGCTTTCCTCACCAACTTTGAACCCTCCCACATACTTGAATCTCCAAATTCCTGGGAGACCCCCAAGAGGATTATGATTAAGGCCCCTAAAAAGGGGGAAACCGTTGCCCCAGGCAGATCTGCAGCAGATTTGGTCATAATTAAAAGGCCAGGGACACTGGGAAATTCCTTCTCCATAGTGATCCCAGCGGGAAATTAAAGCCAGTTGTTTGTGACTAAGTGGCGGATGCTAGCTGAAGCTCCTCCCCTTGGCCTCAGTCCTGCCCCTTGGCCTTCGGGTCCCCATCCATTTCACAAAGCCCCAGACTTCTCATCCCCCGCTCCTCAATGCTCCCCAGTTCCCTTCCCCAGCATCTCTCCTGAGCACCACCCCACAAGTCTGCTGCTCCCCTGGTCTCCTAGAGCTGCTAGAGGTTAAGACCTTGGGCTCCAGCTAGTCAGCACCCTGCTCCAGACCTTCTACCCTAGTACCTCAGCTAGAGTTGGGGTGCTGGGGCTAGAGCTCAGGCCAGAGCTGCCAAACCACAAACACTCACATCTGGAAAGAATTCCCTCCCAGCCCGACTTCCCTTTGTCTTACTTCTGTCTTTTTGGAACTCCAGGCCAGTTGGATGGTGGGAGGAATGGGGCAGTGCAGGGAAAGTTGTAGGCTCAGGACCCACTGCCCCCACCCCAGGGAGCCCCAGCTCGACTTCAGCGTCTCAGTATTCTTAGCCAAGGCACCTGCAGCAGCATCCAGGACCAGAGCACATCGGTCAGGATTTAACACCCGGAGTCTCAGGCTCCCCGTGGGGGAGGGCCTTCCAGGTCTTTTTTTTCCTGCAGGAGGGGTGCTCAATGAACAGGACAGCAGCGCTGGGGCCTCGAGGGGACTAGAGCAAAGAGAAATGGACCTAATGACCTCAGAAGCCGTAGAGGGCAATGAAAGGGGAAGGCAGCAGGCGTCTGGTTTCTGCCCTGTTCCCTCCTCCAGGCTCCCCTCATCCCTTTGGCTACGAGCCTGATTTCACTGTCAGAACCTAATCCCCTCCCTGTACCTACAGCGGCGCCGGGTAGAGAGGGTGGGGGAGGAGCTCAGAGCTCCGGGCCCCAGGGCTCCCCAGGCCGGAATTACTTCCTCCACCTCTGCTCCCCTCCTTCCCCAGAGAGCCCTCGACCTGCCGCGCTCTTCCAGAAGCCCACAAATCAGCTTTCCTACATAAGGCTGGACCTCTTACAGCCAGACTGAAGAGTCTAGCTCCCTCGTTCAAATCCACCACCGCTGGGTGGGGCCCGTTTGGAAGTCCCTTCTCACAATGGCCTCCATCCCGCTGCTACAGTCAGCCCAGATGCCTTCATTTCCCACACACTCATGTTCCCAGATTTCCCTCAGTCCGGAGGCACCAACCCCCACAGTGTGAGGCCGAGGTAGATCCTTCAGCCCCTCGCCTGCGGGTCCCTTCCTCCCTAGACGGTCTCTGGGTCCTGAGGCCCGGGGATGGCGGAAAGCTCGCCTACTCTGCCTTGGGCCACGTTGGCGAGAGTGCTGCTGTACGCCCAGGGCTAGGACTGTCTGTGGGATTTCCCAACCCGCCTGAGAAAAAGTGTGAAGGGGGTCCTAGGAGACTGGGGTCCGAGCGCGGGGCTCCTGGGCCCTGGACAGACTGAGCTCTCTCCAGCTCGTTCTGCTAAGTAGGCTGCCAGCGGTTCCCAGGCTACGTCTCCCGCCCGTCCCGAAGCCCTGCCTGTCCCTCTCAGTCCGCTGTGTCGTGGCCCTGCACAGGGATGTAGCCCACTCCCATTAGGGCCTCCCGGGAAGCTATGCTGCGCCCTTTCCTTTGATCTCCCACTTCAAAGCTGCTGTCGGAAGAACCACCGCTCCTTCTGCCAGGTTTACAGCTCAGGCGACACCTGAGACCCCGCTCCGCCCCTCCCTGGGCACCCGGCCTCTGCCCGCCTCAGGGGCTGCGTGGCGCGCTGGGCTCTGCGCCCGGGTCTCCGCCCCCTCCCCAGCGTCTAACCAGGACCGCTCAGGCGGGGGAAAAGCACCCCTTAAAGAGTCGTGTGGAGGGACCAGCTTGACCTTTGCCCTCCTAGCCTCGTACCCGGGCTGCAGCTTAACCCTTCGGTGTCTGCCCAGTGCACTAGCGAGTGAACCCTCTTGTGCCCACCTCCAGCGGCCTCAGGCGTTGCCTCATCCAAAGCCTGTTGGTGGGGACCGGGCAACCCCTCAACCTCTCTGAGTCGTTCCAGCAGGGGGCGCTGCAGCCCTACTGAGGGGTTAGGGGTTCCCCAGCTCTTCTCTGGGTTCGGAACTGTCCCACTCACTGGATGAAGCCCGAAGTCGGTGACTCGTAAGCCTGAGCCTGAGATCCGGGTTCACCTTGTAGCGGGTTTGCCCACTGCTTAGGAGTCAACCCGGCATGGGTTGGGAGTCGCTGACCAGCTCCTCTTTCGCTGAGCGCATCGCGTGCTCCTCTGCACCAGCCTTTCCATCAGCCTCCTGGTGCGAAGGTGGGGGTCTTAGTCCACAGAAAGCCTTGCACCCACCCCGAAGCCAGATATGGAGACTGGGAGTGGGAGTTGGAAGAGGGTCGGGGGCTGGATG